AGAGAGAGAGAGAGAGAGAGAGAGAGAGAGAGAGAGAGAGAGAGAGAGAGAGGGCCGATCGATGTCTCGTTCTCGCAACAGGATAAACGCAATTTGCTCGAAGGGAGGCTAATGCAGGAGTTAGTAGACAGGCGGTACTGTAGGTCACGACATAATCCGATTTTCCGGGCGTTAATACGGCGTTCCGAACCAGCGCAGCCGCGCGTTACTTCTAAACCGACCATTTCCACGGTACAGGCACTACTCAGACTACTTCTAACAACATGCCTGTTATCGTTATTAATATCAACCATCAATGCAACCTCGATCCTCGTACTGCTTTTAAACTAGCTTACAAAAAGTTGATACCAAGTTAATTTTATTTTGTTTGAAGACATTTCTTCTTTGAAAAAGACAAATAAATTTCACGGATGCACGCGTATTAATTGTATATTTGTATATTAATAGATGGTAATCACGCGAAGAACTTTTGTTTTATTATTAATTTTGCGTATTAATTAATGTCTTCTTTTATATAATTTCTCTTTCTCATTTTAAATCTTTTGAATTAAATAAAACAGATCGGCGTAACAGATCTAGGACATTAATCTCTTGAACTAACATAACAACGTGTGAAAGACGTTATATGCTTTCGAGATCCAAACTGAGAACCGTATCAGACTCGTGATTTTAAGAATTAGAGATAAGAAAGAGAAAAAAAACGAGCGAGACGCCAATGCATGAGCAACTCTCTCATCGACAGTGACACACATCGTTGCCATTTTAAATCACACTGCAAGGAGTTAAAAGTCACTGGCTGAAAATAATTATTAACTATCACATTGTGTAACTTCTGTTTTTTGTTTGTAACACAGGTGACACATGTGGCAGGCTTTAATAAGTAAATATTATTCGCGCTCTTATTTTTTCTTGCTGACATAATCATTAATTAAATATTAAATAATAAAAGAACTTCCCATTTGCACATACATAAACAGTAAGCAAGGTCACATGTATTAATCACTTTAGATAGTATATAAAGCATGGCACAAATGTTATGAGCATTAGACTCATAAAGTTTGCTAAACAGTACTCTCAGCCTTTTTAAAATGAAGTTCTACATATTCGCTCTTTTGATTCTGGTTGCAGTTGCTACTGCACTTCCAGTCGAAGGTAAGTTTCTACATGCGTTCGAAAAACTAAAGAGAAATCAAACACCTTTAGACTTTGTCATCATTTGACAGTATTACCAAAATAGAAAAAATGTTTGAATTAAATATTTAAGTAGTTGTAAGAGAAAACGCGCGTGTGTATATGCATATATTTCTATGTACTACATGTACAGTTTTAAATACTTTTTACATATATATTTAATATGTATGTGTATATATATGTTTTTTTTTTAATTTATGCAATACTAATGATTACTATTGCTACTTCTTAAGAGGGTACTGGATACCGACTATAGAGACCTGTAAACCGACGTTTCTCCTAAGTCCTTTGGAGTCGTATTTACTGCATCAGATCTAAAATGCTTCTACAGAAATAAATAAATAGTGCTGAGGATTAGCGCTTGTTCTTTGGAATGTCAAAATTCAGCATAAATTTTTTCTTATACAGTTTCCTTCTATAACCTCACTATATATTCATATATGTAGAATTATTTCTAAGCTTATGTACATATTTACAATGAACAAGCGCCACAAGTACGACAAAAACGAATCTAATGAGACATTCAGATTATGATATGACTATCTAATTGATGAGAACAACGTCTTAGTGTGATGACAGTATAAGTTATCATATGCTATCATTATGAATGAAAAAGAGTTTCAAGAGGCATTATATATCTATTTTCAAAAGCACTAAATAGTTGTTTATATGTATTTGCTTCTATAGAAGCACTTTTTATGTAATGCAGTAAAGAAACTTAAAAATTAAAGAAATTTAGGTTTTTAAAACGTCGGTTTACAGGTCTCTATCCAGTTTACAGGCCGGGCTCCAGTACCCTCTTAATACGTGTGAAACTGTTACAATAAATTTTTAAATATTGTTGCACATATACAGTTATTTTAAATCGATTTCAACATGTAATATTAATTTTTTTTTCTATAAATGTCTTATAAAATAAAAAATGTATTATTTCCGTTCTTGAAGAAACCTTGCAAAATAAAGCCTCTGATCTAGAGGCAGGTGAAACATATGGATGGACATGTTCGATCGGTGGTGATAACCTTTGTAATACGGTATGCAAACAAGAGGGAAGAAAAGGAGGAAAATGCAAAAGTGGTACTTGCGTGTGCCATGGATAAAGTAAGATTCAAAATGTGAATGTCTCATGTTGCTGATTATTTTAATGGCAAAACGATCATATAAGAGTTAAGAGAATGCTAGATCGTCGGCAAAAGTCCGATGAGCTGTCACTCAGCAGCTACGCTATCGGGTAAGTGGTGCCATCTCTCGGAACTGAGTCGAACCAAAACAAAGATAGATGACATAAGAGAGACAAGGATAGACGTATATGTCTCTTTGGCGCTTCTTCTAAAATTGCATCAATCTTATTTTTGATCTGTCGTTTTTTACAAGCTTCAAAATACTTTTCTAAAGCACTTAAAATATTCGTCTATGTCTCTAGAAGTGGATAGCAAAGCGTTTTTTTTATTTATACTGCCAATTTTGTATATAAAGTGAAAATGTGGACTGTGTCGTAATAATCCAAAAATTTTTTTGTTTTTCTTAAATATTTCTCTTCTATTTATTTTTTTAAAGCATATTCTCTTTAATTCTGGAGAAGCATTTTTCATTCCGATCAATGAGTGCAGAATGATTTCTAAAATAAGAAGTGCCGGTAAAACAAAACGGTCCAGCATTCTCTTAAAGATAGTATTATATAAAACATGGAATTTTGTATCAGTTATAATAGTAGTAATGCATATGACAATGTTGATAAAAAATAATTAATAATAATTTAATAATGAAAAAATTTTGCTTATTACACGTTAAAAATTGAATAAGTCAAAATTATATTGATTTGATTGATCGTAAATCATTTTAATCCGCTATAATAAAGCTTTCTTTTATTGTTTTCAGACATAGAGAAGCTGGCTAAAACTGATTAAATCAGTAACGATTTTTTCAGAAGACTTATAATGGTGTATATGGCTTACATTTTTTAATTAACTTTTATGCATATTATTATCAATACATACAAATATGTTATAACAATTAATTTGCAATAAAAATATTTAAAAAACTATTTTTCTAATATGTAAAATGGTATCAAATACTTTTATGTACATATTATTTCTTTCCTTTGTTCTCTTTAAATAGACACTCCTACTTTTAAAAATATATTCATAAGTACAATAAAGTATTCATTATTTGTATTTAACAAGATAAAGTAAGATAAAATGCAAATTTCTTATGTTTCTGATTCTTTTTCAATCATCATATAAGAAATACGATTATATTGTACAAAAAGTAACTTTTATCACAATATTTAATAGCATTAATGGTAATGGATATTATGAAAATAATGACAAATAATATAAAGTAATAACAAATAATCGGCTATTAAAGAAATTTTGTTTATTATAGACACTAGACTACAATTTATATATCGATCTCATTAGCTCCAGTAATAAAGATTTTTTTCATTATTTTCGAAAAACTTAAATGATTTGCCGAAATCTGATTATTAACAATAATGTCTTTTACAAGAACTAATTTTGATCTTGACATAATGAGCACCAATATATATTTCTTGTTGGATTTTTAATCATATTTCTATGTATACACAAAATAATGTATTGTACTAAAAATAAATGTACATCATATTAAAAACTGAAAATTTTCTTCTAATATCTATGTAAAATTTATGTTATACACACATACACACACATGTATATATGTGTATATATATATGTTAGCGTCAAAACCCGAAGTCCGGGCAGTTTTAGGATTGACTGGTCAATTCCCGAAAAAAGGTTAGGGTTAGGTTAGGGTTAGGTTAGATTTTTCGGGCATTGACCAGTCAATCCTAAAACTGCCCGACTTCGGGTTTTGACGCTAACATATATATATATATATATTATATACATATATACCACACGCATTTTTATCTTTTATTCTTTACGCAATAAAAACCATATTTTTAAGATTGTTCAGAAAAGGAAGAATACATCGAGAAAACAAAAATGACAACATGATACCAGAAAAGGAATCTATGAAAAACTAACGAATTTAACAGGGCCGTTATACTTGGTGCATCCTCTTTTCTTGCGACATTCTTTTAAATCATCTTGGTTGCGTACATTCCGTTTAACTTCTATTTCCTTCAGTTGCCTTCTCATTCGTTCCGGCCACTCCGGAACATGTTTCGGTCAATCGATTTCGCAGTGGATACGCAGGCGGTCGGAACGGAAAGCAGGAGAAGTCGGAAAAACGCGCGCGCGTAAAGAGCGAAATAGGGGCGAGGTTGGCGAAGAGAAAGGGAACGGCTGAGTATACAGGTCGAAAGGAAAAAAAGAAACGCTACCACGGAAACGAGATCGCAAAATAAAAGGGTTGCGAGTGCTGAGTGTAACAGGACAGAAGCGAGAGAGAAGATGAGAAGGAAAGAGTCGAAAAACAGAAAGAGAAAGGAAGGGAAAGAGGAGAGTAAAATAGAAAAGAAAGAAAAAAACGAAAAAGAGAAAAGGGGACCGTGGAGACCGAAAGTACGACAAACAGGGAGGAGATGAGAGAGACCGCGTTCAACTACCCACCTACCTTACACAGGAGTGAAGGACGGCTCGTTTGCTTCAGCCTCTTCCATCCCTGGCATCCAACCGCCTATCTTTTTCTAGCGTTTCTTCCGCAGCCTTCTTTTTTCTCACTGTGTTCTTCATAGCGTTCATCTTTCTCGCTTTTGCGTATGAAACGTCTTACTCACTCACTCATTCATTCTCTCTCTCTCTCTCTCTCTCTCTCTCTCTCTCTCTCTCTCTTTTCCATTATGTCTCTTTTTACCCAGCGGGAAAACAAATTCACCGGAGGGGAGTGAGCCACCCGTCCGCCATCTCTCCAAGCAGGCGTACTCGCTCGCGCGGTGCTTTGAATGTAACTAATTAGTAACTACGTTCAGCGTGACGTAATAAGCAGACGGTTTCTACTGGCGAGCTTACCGCGGCGTGCGACGTGCTCGTTATCGTTTTATTTCGAACTTTTCATTCCTCTCCAACATCCCCCAACCCGCTCGGCAACCTCCTCGTTCGCCATCGTTTGCACCAACGACGACGACTGCCCTGTGCTTCTTCCACTCTTACTTCTTCCGCTTCTTCCGCGCTTTCGCTTGCCACTCCCATGCTTTTTTACAAATCTCTTCGCTGAAAAGAATTTGAATTTACTCATGCTGAGCATTCTGGGATCGCAAATTCTATAGTTTGCGTACAGGTTTTTCCAGTTGTATTCGAAGACTCTCTCTGTGTGTGCGTGCGTGCGTGCGTGCGTGTATGCGTGTGCGGTGTGTGCGTGTGAACGCGCGCGGGTGCGTAGAGGGAAGGAGTAAAATAAAGTAGCTAAGTTTTTGTGAAAACCATCACGAAATAAACTTCTGTTCTTTTGCATACTTTTCTTTACACAAGTTTTTTGATATGTAGATACACATATAAATAATGCAATATGGAAAAACAAATTTTAAAAAATTTCAAAATAAGTGCACTTCTTTGTAAGAAAGAGAATTTTCAACATTTTCCTTATTGATATATTCCATTTGAGATGTAACATATTATATAAGTTATTATTTGTTAAGCGTTTAACTATCTGCATTCAAAAAACAGATGATTTGTACATATGTTTGCTCGATATGAAATGACACACAGGTGTTGAAAATTACAACTTATATAGGAATCTGTCTTGAGTGTCATCCGCTTCGGACCAGAATCAAACTCGTGTGACAAGAGAATCGTCGCCAGTCGACAGACCTGAGCTCTACAAGCGGATTCAATTTTCGTGAAATTCCAAAGTTCGCTCACAAACTCACCGGGTCGCGTAGCTCGTAACGGATATGTAACAAGTTCGGCCGCGATTAAAACTGCGCGTAGGGGTTGAACCGGTGCGCGGCGCGAATATATGCGAATAACTCGCGTGATAGACGGTACGAATGGGAGTTTCGCAAATACGGGGGTTGTTCCACCTGATCAGCCGCACCGCTGGGAATACATTACCGTTATGAAGAGGCGATAATTAATTGCGTCCCCGCGCTATTGATTATTTATATTACGTCAAGTATAACACGAAAGTTTAAATGTAAAACTCGTCGCTTTTTTTTTTTTTTTTTTTTGAGTTAATTTACACAATCATAGGTATTTCCAATTTGATTTAAATTAATTAAAAATTTGTAAAACCGATTATAATACGATAATTTTTTATTTCACATGATTATTTATTTTCTGAATTGTATAATATTTAAATGGAAAACTTGACAGTCACTTTAACTTTCAACGTGATAATCTAAAAAATCATGTAGTACGTAATCAATTTATATGATCGTTGTAATATATTTTCTAATCTATATGATATATATATGTAGACTCCATCAAATCAAGTCAGAGTAGAAATTTCATCATTATTTTATATTGTTGCAATTTTGAGCAATCGACGATTTTCTCGGTTATAAAGAGCTGTGTTAGCAGTTTCTCCGGGATTTTTCGTAGAAGCGATTATCAGCCGGAAGCGATTATCGTCACAGTAGCGACAGGTAATTGTTTCAGTCCATTATCGTCGTGAATGCTTAATTATCACCAAAAGCAAAACACTTCTCAGATATGATCGCGATCGGCCGACTGCATATAACTCCGCTTTCCGGAGTTTGTAATCACGATTGCAACGTTGCGCTGCATCGTTTGAAACTTCCGCTGATAAGCTTCTTTATTCACTTGTAAAACTTTGAAAGAGAGAGAGAGAAAGAGAGAGAAAGAAAGAAAGAAGAAGCGTATCAGCCACATCAATATCATTCGTACAAAGACTGTCCCAACAGCGACGATGGCGGCGGCAACTCGAGCTCTAATTATGGCCCGGGAAAATCGAGCGGGTGAGCTGGGAAAAGCCGGAGATGGTGGAAAAGAGAGAGAAAGAGAGAGAGAGAGAGAGAGAGAGAGAGAGAGAGAGAGAGAAGGGGAGAAGGGAGCGAGAATCGAGTAGAAAAGTTCTCGTCAAGCGAGGCCGAGCGGCGTTCGGAAAGCTGCGCACGTAACCGTGCAACTTTTGGGATTATAATTAGTTGCTTCGTATTGCCGGCGACTGGCACTGCCATGTCGTTGCGACGCCGGTAAATGCAGAATTTACGCTCAGCGAACGGGGGATTTACGCTTGTAAATGCAACAGCGAGAGCGCGAAACGCCGAAGAGAAGTCGCGATACATCCGGGAGCGCTCCTCCCCGCCAATTGCGCCGCCATTATGATGTTTTTTGTTTGTCTTTCAGTAGCGGTAAGTGCGGTTTTCAAGACAAGCAAGCATTTCCGCAGACTGGAATTCCGGCACATTTATGTATTCGAAAAAGACTTATCTGAGGTTGTTGTGCGTTGCAGTAATTGACTCTATTTAAGAAACATTGCTTTCCACTATAATAAAAAAAGTGGACTATAACGCCTTCTGCGTAAATGTTACAAAATATAACGCCATTATTATAATATATCCTCTAATTATTGACTACTAACGTAAAGAGAGAGAGAGTATAGTGACTAACACAAAAAATTGATAAAAACTTTCATAATAAAGTATAACTCGACTCATTTCCGTGTAAAAAAATCGAGAACAAAGTGTACTCACTCATCAACAGCTGTCTCCTGCTGTCTTCTATTTTTGACTTGATGATACAGGCATATACCATCAAGTCAAAAAGGGAGGAATAAAAGTTCTCGGCCGTCTTCCGTTATCTTCTTTGAGCCACGGTTCCCATTAGAAATGCGAGAAACGCGTTTATGTGTAAATGAGAAAGTGCCCTTCCCTCTTACGAATCGCGCGAAATGAGGGAAAGCCGACAAGAAAACGCGGAACAAAGATAGCGAAGAGCGAAAACAAAACATGGAGAAACGGAATCGCGTAATTCTTCCGAGGGTTGCATTCGCGAATTACAGCGTGGAACACGCGTGTATTTCTTGTGT